AAAATAGGGGGCCCCTCAAATGGGTGGCTCTTTTGAACTTTTGAATCTCTATTTTTCCCACCTCAAAAAGACGAGTTGCCCTCAGAAAACATCGCCCATGAGCAGCGACCGTTTCACCGAGTGGCTTTTGGTTCTACCGCGAAGGATGATAAAGGCTTATACAGGGACTGCTATCATCCCAATCAACCCAGACCCAGGTAGGACCTGCTAAAACGGACTATGATCATATTATGAGAGACGTTGGATTTTGGCGAGTCGACCCTCTCTACTGGTATTTGGGTGACTGGGCTGTCCGTTTCCAGATCCCCGTCGAAAAGTGACGAACTTGTGGGTTAAATGGAAACCCAGCCGCTCAACCCTTAAAGCCTCAAAAGCTAGGGGAATGGCTGGGAACCGCCAAGGTGAGTGTGCCCCACGCCTAGATATCGACCGTTGCTCATATCATTCGGCACAGGGTGGTCCTTTTGCCACAAATTTGCCAGCCCTGCCATCTGGGAACAATCACGTGCCCCCCGCCACTCCATACATGATTCCCTTGGACCCTCAAAGGGGAAATGTGGGGGGAGGGTCCCTTTACAGTATTAAAATTCGCTCAGGCCCTTCAGCAGGCAACACGATCACGGGAGGACACTAGGCTTGATCTGGAGTTGACCCCCGCCCCGGGATTTGCGTGAAACGCGGATGTGCCAAAATTTGGGTTTTGGAGCTTGCTTTGATGTGCTGAAAGCTTTGTTTCAAGAGAAAAAAGTGTTGAAGGTGTTGATGTTGCTCTGGTTGCTGTCTTTGCCCCCCCATTTTCTTGCTATGTCCCTGGGTCGACCTTACTGCTTTGCCAAAGTATGCCGTTCCAGCTAGGGACACAAACCGGCCAGGTTCCGCCTGGGTTTGTAATGTTCACCGAACCGCACAAACTGCAAGGCCAACACCTGCACAACAAGAACCCAACCATGGCCTGGTACTGTCTTCCATTTGGTTTTGGGGTACATGACACCGCGAAATCAACTCCTGCAGCGGTCGTTGGTGACAGGCGAGCGGCGTTGTCCCAAGAAAATCACACACTTGCGAAATTGAAAAATTATTGATCTAAAAACTGCGCCCCAGCTCCCTTGACCCTGAAAGGTCCCGTGGTTTCTCTCTGGTCGCAGGCGAGGCAAAGGGCGCCATTTGCCCCGCCAGGCACCTACTCAGAGGCTGATCCACCCAAATTCCCATCGTTTTTGGACCGAATTAGCTCTGTGCTCGGCAGGATTCAGCCGACGATCAGAAACACCTTTTTTTGCCACCTCTTGTGAGAAAATTGGCGACCCCCTCAAAAAGGAATCCTTCTCTACAAGGGGGTCGATCAGTTTTCCACCAAAGGTGGCAAAAAGATCCCCCTGCCGACGATGGCACAGGCAATTCAACGGTGCCAAAGATGGAGACAGGCGAACAGCTGCCATGCCGAACTCTGACTAGGTCCTCTCAAGTAGAGAGGATAGAATAAGTTGGTACCCAACGTGTTTTCCTTTTTGTCCATTTTAGCAGGGGAACCCTACCAACCAAACAAGGAGTTAGAAAGGGCACGATCCTGGGGGACCGAACTCTGACGCTCGGACGCTCTGACGCTCGGCTTGGCGCGCCTCATTGTCCGAGAGGTCCAACCTGAGGAGAGAAGCCCATGCTCCCCAAAAAACGGCCAAGAAATTGCGGGTGGAACCAGTGACCACAAAAAAACACTCTCCTGCAACTTAGCACGGCACAAAAAAGGTTCCCAAAAACGGCCAACGCGTTGCGTGTCGAACACGACCAAGAAAAAACCAGCACGGCAAGGGGTTGTAGGGTTCCTGGTATTCTGAGAGCAAGTGCGGGATGCCTTTTACGCTTGAGCCTCATCCGCGCCGGTTCATGGACGAGCCCTTCTCGCCTTGCACCTCGCGAATATTTGTTCCCCGCGACCGATATTCCCTGATTCTGAACCGTCTGCCCGGATATATCAATATATCATATTCACAGCGTGTATCCTCACCTCTATGTAATGAATAGGTTCTTTTGGGCTCAAACATAATCTCAGTTGTTCAGTGACCCTGGAAAAAAAGGGAACCCTTTTTCGGAAGACAATTTTAGTGGGGCAGCCACCCAAAAAAAAGGAAAAAGGGGGCCACTGAACAACTGAGTAATTGTAAAAAGAGGGAGATGAGATGAGATCCTTGTAAGCCTCTGGGGGCGTCCTCGTAAGATTTCTGTTTAAGTTTTGCTCTTCGTTTTGATTCAAAGGCTTCCTTACTTGTCAAGAGACAAGGATTGCTGAAGTTCCGATCCCTTCAGAGACTGTATGAGACAACACGGACCTCACGGAACACGGTTGCTTCTGCCCCATGATTCGCTGAGACCCCGAAAACCCATCTGCAAAACCTGCTGTCAAGTGGCTCTATCACTGGATCTCGGCAATTCCAGATGTACCTGCCGCAGAAAAAGCATGGTGCGGAGTGCGGGACATGCGCCACGGTGGGTATAGTAATAAGCCGAGAACTGCTCTGTGTTCGTATTTACTTCCTGAAAGCTACTTTAGTTGCGGATGTAAACAAATATAATGCAAACCATTTTGCAGAATGACCGTCAACACAAGATTCAGGGGCCATAGTTTTCTGTTGTGGATACCCTTCCTCCAAGTAACATGGCACCTGTGGGGAGGTACCTGGAAGATTGGTTTCCTTTTGAAAGGACCCCTGAGTTGCCATGTTAGTGGGAGGGAGGGTAAAACCCACAGCAAAAACTGTGAGCTCAGCCGTCAGTCACTTGATCTTGTTACTAGCGGCTGCTAGCGTCGGGTGGCGAAACTCTGGCGAATTCTTCAGTGGCGCAGGAAAAAAACTTGGCTCAACGCCTGTTCTCGGTTGCAAAATCTGCGAAGCCCACGGAAAACCCATTAGGTGGCAAAAAGTTGTAAAGTCCTAACAGCCCTTGGCAAAATGCACCAAAGTGATCAAGCATGTTTTACATTTCGGTGAAACTTCACTCAACTGTGTGCGGTTGTCAACCATAGGCAGCCGAAATGCTTTGCCCAGGTAAATTGAAAAGTCGATTTCATCTGCGGTCCGGTTCCTGGTGGTGTATTTTTGACCCACACCCAAGTGACCCAAGTTAGCAAAGAGGAAAATCAAACAAAACATAGCCGCCGTGATGGAGGGCGTCCGCCGGCTTCAACAAACTCCGGCGACCTGCTGTGGCCAACCTCTACTCATCTGCTCTGCTTTGATCTGCTTGGCCACCACACCAAATAAGCAAACAAATACCCTAACCAAACAAGCAAACACACATGTCGCACAAAGCAAACATGCAACTAACAAAAAATATGACGACACACATAGCCACACACGTAACCACACACATAGCCACACACACACACACGCGCCCCAGCGCAACCACAGACACACATACACACAGACCCGGACGCCAACACGGACACAAACGCGCACACACACAAACAAGCACAAGCGTGCACGCCGACGCGCTTGCACATGCATGATGAGAAGTCAGGGTGAACTGCGTGGCCAGCAGATTTGCGTTTGATCCGGATCGCAAATTCATATTTCGAGATGCGACCACTGCTCCAAACAGAATAATGTTCAGACTGCCAAAGAAATTGCCAGCAGGGCCAACCAGTGCCTCTTCATCTCGACACCAGATGAACGCAACACTAGCAAGGTACTGGTTGCACACATTGCTGGGAGTTGAAGGCTTGCCAGGCACCAGTTCTTTTGTGAGCATGTCTTAACCTCGACCCCCAAAATCGAGTTCGTTTGTCCTTTTCATTTGCCTTTAGCGCCCCAAAAAGGGTACCTTGAGAAAAGAGACATCTATACATTTACATTACCCTTAGCTGGTGGTGTTGACTCGAGGTTTGGACCTTATATAGCGAGCACATGGGAGCACCTTACCCATTTACCCAACAAGACCCCGGGGGTCCAATCCCCAACCCACCAATGCACCGATTCACAAAAGGCCGGCCCTGACACCGAGCTGCTTGCAGGCCGAGCAAACCACGCAACGAGCGGCGGACAAAACACAGCGCAAGGCGCTGCAAAAAGAGCAAGCGAGCGAGCGAGCGAGCAAGCAAACAAGCAAACAAGCAAAGACAACAACACAAACAACAAACTGGAAGAAAGAAACAACACAAGCCACATAGCATCAGTTCGACCCGGGGGGGGGGGCACTCAGTGACAGCAGACAAACCTGCTGCCCTCATGCGGTTGCCGGAGAGCAAGATGCGCTCTACCTGATGCAGATCTGGGTGTTGACAGTTTCAGTAAACAAAGATGGTCCAGGAGGAATCGCTAAATGGATAGTAACCCTGGTTATATCCCACTTGCCATGGTGGTTCGTCCATGTAACCAGGGTAACTAACCATTAGCTAAGCCTGCCCCGAACCTAAGCGTCGTCCCCTGCAACGGCTCAACTATCACCAGACCGTCGTGCCTTCAACTGGTACTCGACATTCGTCTGGGGATTTGATTCCACAAAGTCTCGACAACAAAGTGGCGCCCCCAAACACCTCCTAAACTAACCCAAGCCAACTGCCCTCCCACCAGCTAACATGGAAGTGCAAAAAAACCCTTGTAGAAAGACGACTTTCCTCTTGGAAAGGGGCCAAACGTGCACTTCTATGTTAGTTGGTGGGAGGGTAAGGAAATGGAGAAATCACCACGAGCAGGGTTCCCCCTTTCTGATGAACTTTGATTCGGGTTCCTCGATCCTATCAGTAAAAAACACACAAGCCGCACGCCGACCCCGACTGAGTGCATCACGTGTCAACTTCATTACCTTGTAACTTCAGGCATCCTAGGTTCAGCCACAAACGCACGCTCGTGTCTGTGGATCAGTCTTTGCGGACGGTTCTGGCTCGAACCGCTCTTGCACCACAAACATCTGGCCGCGTCTTCAGCTCAAGGTCTCGGCCGCCTTCCGCTCGAGCCCGCGGACCCTTTTGCTTGAAGCCCGGCAGGTCCGCGGCGCCGGCTCGTTCAGAGCCTTCGGCCGCTTTCATGGGGCTCCGCCAAGTACGCCGCCACTGTTGGAGATGGGAACTTCAGCCGCAGCCCCGCCGCCGGCTCTGTGTCCGACTCCTGGTGTTTTGGGATGGAGATAATTAGGGTGACGTCTCTTTGAGGAATCGGACCGAATCAAATGGTGCAACGGTTTGTTTGCCGGTTTTCCTGTTGGTTTCCCTCTTCACTGTTTGTTCAAAGAAAGGAAGGTACCGAGCCTCAAAAAGGACGAGCCACCCACGAACTCAGAATCCGAAATATCCCCCCCACCCAAAATTGGGATCGAGTTTTTATCCCTTCGTATCATCCAGCCCCGAGATCCAAAGGCTCAAGAGTCACCTCAGTTGTTCAGCAACCCTGGAAAATAAACAAAAACAAAAACAAAAAACGGGAACCCTTTTGGCACGTGGCGCTTCCATGTCGGTAAGAAAGCGCAGGTCACAGGGGCATGCCGCCACCTGAACCGGTTACAACGGGCAACTGGTGCCCCACGAAGCTGATGTGCAGGGGGCTATGCCACACCCCACACATGGCGAAGTGGGCAGCGTGCTGCGTGAGACAAGGGTGCCAACAGAGGTGGCACCCTCAGCCCAGAGGGCTCATAAAATCAGTGAGGTGCCAGGCCAAGTGGCAGGGCCTGGACATCACACTGCACTGGCCACCACAAAGCGCCAAGAAGAAGCACCACCGTGGACCACCACTAGCACAAAGTCCAAGCCCGAACGGGAAAAACGGCTCGGAGTACCTTCACCGAAAAGGCGTTCAGAGGAAAGAAGCAAGCCACGAACAGAGCCAATCCCCATCGCAGAGATTGGAGCATGCAAGGCCAGGGAATCCTACACGGGTACCACGAAGTGTAAGCGCAGCGCCATCGATCTGCAGAATAGGGCCGCCCCATGGAGCCGAGACAATGTAGACCGCCTGGTAGAAGTAGCCACCAGGAAGTGCCGAGAGAAGACCAAAGAACAGGGACCATCCCTGCATACAAAGATGGGCACATGCAATGATGCCCCCTCCAAACTGATCCACACCTTGAAGCCAGGGTGAAGTAGAGACAAGTCCCACGAAGTAAAGGAGCCAAGAGCTGGCCGAACAAAAGCAGCGCATCAGTCGAAGGAGTCGACAGGTAGGTGTATGAAAATCTTGAGGAGCCAGCAGAAATACACGACATACACCATACAAGCTTGATGAAGAGCTCGACGACAACCAGAGGAACCGAGCGGCCGCCAGGGGAGGCTGCCTTGTTGGACGCCTCACCCCTCCATGGAGAGGCAGTGAGGGTTAGGGGGCTCAGCTCCCAGAACCCAACGGCTCAGTGGCTCACTCTGAGCCGAGAGGGCTAAAACGGGAACCCTTTTTTGGGAAGACCATTTGGGTGGGGCAGCCGCCAAAACAAAAAAAGTCGGAAAAAGAAACCAGGGGGCCACTGAAGAAGTGAGTCACGCTGGGCGCCCCGGCACGAACATCCTGAGACTTCAAGCCGTCCAGGACAGCACAAAGGTTCTCGTCCTCGGCCCGCGTGAAGTCCGACAATCCCGGACCCATTACTGGGATTTTACCCTTCCTCCAACTAACATGGCACCTGTGGGGAGGTACATGGAAGATGTATTTCCTTTTGAAGGGACCCCCTCTCAGTTGCCATGTTAGTGGGAGGGAGGGTACCCGAGGAAAGTGGCCCGAAATAAGCCAAATCAACACAACATATGCCGGGCTTCATCAGGAAATAGGCGATCCATCCTTGGGATAAGTTGTACCAGAGGGAAGTTACCCAAAATAATCCGCAAACAAACGCAACATATCCAGGCTTTATCTGGACAAAGGATAGAATAGGGTGATTCCTGAGAGGGGAATCGTACTCTTGGAACCTGTTCTTCTCCTGGAAATAGGAAGGAAATCGCCACATGCGATTCCTTTCAAGTCGGGAAATCTTTGCAGGAAGTGCGTGTGGTTTGCTTACACGATGCGTCCATAGGTCGGGAAATCTCTGCACGAAGTGGTTGTTGTTTGCTTGCTTACACGTGAAGGGGAGCAAACCCAAAACACTGAACCCTGAACCCTAATTCCTAAATGACTGAATTCTGAACCCTAAACCCTAAATGACTGAAGTAGGGAAAAATTGGGAAACTCCTTTCAAGTGGGGACAAATCCTGCACGAAGTGATGGTTGTTTGCTTTCACGTGAAGGGAAGCAATGACTGAATTGGCCATGGGTCAAAATATCCCGTACCCCCAGGGAACATCCCAATCCCCACTAAAATAGGTTCTGAAATGGGTGGTGCACCTGCCCCAAAATGGGATACCATTGGTTTTGACCCACAGCAAAACTTTGCTACGACTCCTTCTTCAACGTATTGTTTTAGTTGGTTCAGTCTGAGAGAAAAACAACTTGGGTGGTTGTTTGCTGTTCGGAAGCCAGCTATTTGGCCCCCGGGTTTGGGTAAATGGGTAAGGTGCTCCCTATATAAGGTCCACACCTCCAACAAAAAACACCACCAACTAAGGGGAATGTGAAAATTTGTGAATAAAGGGAAATAACATGGACAAACAAACTCGATTTTGGGGTTCCAGGTTAAGACAAACCCACAAAAGAACTGGTGCCTCCAACTATATAAGGTGAATTTGTCTGTGGCTCAAAAAAAGACTAAACCTGCGAAGCCCCGGTTCTTTAAGTTTGAGCCACACCCATTTGTGAATAAAGGGAAATAACATGGACAAACGAGCTCGATTTTGGGGTTCCAGGTTAAGACAAACCCACAAAAGAATTGGTGCCTCCAACTAAGGGTAAGGTGAATTTGTCTGTGGCTCAAAAAAAGGTACTAAAACGGCACCTTGGTACATGGAACCAAAAACTAAAACCTGCGTAACCCCGGTTCTTTAATTTTGAGCCACACCCATTTGTGAATAAAGGGAAATAACATGGACAAACGAACTCGATTTTGGGGGTCCAGGTTAAGACAAACCCACAAAAGAACTGGCGCCTCCAACTAAGGGTACTAGGTCCTCCAGTACAGGGGTTAGAATAAGGGTACCCTTTTTTTTCTGTGGTCTATTTTAGTGGGGGAACCCTCCCCAAAAAAGGGTAAAAGGGCACTACTGGAGGACCTAGTCTTTTTGTTCAGCTACCCAATTTTTTGCGGGGTCTCACTTTCTGAGTGCATTGGCCAACAAGGGCAACCAATTCTCGTAGTTACCACTCTGGTCCAAGCCCGAAAAGCTGCGAAGTTGTGAATTTGTGAATTTGTGAAGTTTTTTCTGTAGACCCTTTTTTCTGTAGTCTATTTTAGTGGGGGAACCCTCCCCAAAAAAGAAACGGTAAAAGGGCACCTATCTGGGGGGACCTAGGGCTGACAGCAAGCAAGCGAGCGCCTTCCGGCTCCGGGAGCTCCCACACTCAGCGAGTTCCTGGAGAGGTCCAGGCGCCGCAGCCTCCAGGGCGCACCTCGGCGGAGGGCGGAGTGAGAGAGGCTCCGGGGCGCGCGGGGGGCGTTTCGCCGAAGGGGTTGGCATGGTTTAGGGTTTAGGGTTGGTTTGGGAGTTTTAGGGTTGAGGCGGGTTTGGGAGTTTTTGGGTTTTAGGGTTTGGGAGTTTGGGACTTGTGGGGTTTAGGGTTTAGGGTTAGCATCCCTTAGTTGCCTAGATAGCCAAGTTGAGATCGCTTTTTTCAGTCACTGTTGCTGGTTTTTGGGGTAAAGTTTATGGAGAAAAGCAGCAACTGGCGATCCAGGTGGGTTGGATTGGATTGGCTTGGAAGTGGGTCGCAACCTATTTAGCGATTCCTCGGACCATCTAAGTGGAAACAGAAAAGTGTAGGATTTCAGGAGAACCAAAGCAGGGGTCGCGGGATTTTCGGGATGTCAGGTCACAAAACACAAAGGAGTTCAAAAAAAGGTTAGATGGTCCGGGGCAAATCGCTGGTTAGCCCTGGTAGCCGTAGAGCCATCGCTTTGGTGAGTAGTACTACCCATTTAGCGATTCCTCCCGGACTATCTAGCTGGAAAAAGGAAGTCCGGCGTTTCCCCAGAGGGTCCCTTCCTAAGGATGGCAATTGGGGGGTTGCAATTTCTGGTGGTTCAGTACCTCCTCAAAAAGGTCCCCTTCCAATTTCGGGATGTGCCAAACAGCCGCTGGATTTCTCCTGGAATTTGCAGGTGTCCATTGAAACGATCGCCTTTTTGGATTCCACAAAGGGAACCTAACCCAACTCTCGGTCCCAAGGGGATCCGAAATTCGTTTTTGGAGAAAAAAACAAAAGGAGAAAAGACACAAGGGTCAACAAAAACACAGGAGCTCTCAAAAAAAAAGCTTGAGCTGCCGCACCATTCAAGGAAGAAACCATGGCCTTCCAGGTGGCAAGCCCCATGTTTGCGGATGAAGCGCATAGTTCCCCGAGACAATGTCAGCGGCCAAACGACCGAAAATCGAATGCTTGCCACATATACCTGGTTGTAGATATCTCAATGATGGATACCCTAGTGCATATATATATATATATATATATATGTATAAGTAGCTGTGTCTTTGTTTGAGGATGCCCTTTTTTTTGGTGTGGTTCTAAAGCGAGATCAACAGGACAACCACATGTTGGTGGGTCCCCTAAACAAAAGATTTAAATCAACATCTAATTAGAATTATGAAGAACAACACATGTGCAGTTGAATGTCTATTCTAATTGAGGATTGAAGTAGGAAGTACTTTCCAAATCGGACTTTAATCAAAGATAATTGCTATGTAAATGGAAGTCGAATGTCAATTTTGATTGCCAGTTTAAGTAGGAAACCCTTTCCAAACAGGATTCTAGTCAAAGTTAATTGCAGTTCGACAAGCTCGTCGTGGAAAGGTATGGACAGTAGCGGGGCGTGGAAGATGGCAAATGAGCAGGTGTGCAAAGCTATTGGATGGTAGCGTTTTTAGAAAATTTGCAACAATGTAAGATGTGCAAAAGAGGAAAAGTGAATCATGGGTGGGGAGCATATATATATATATATATGTATAATGCAAGTGCGTAGGTCCTGGGGGGGTCCCCAGGGGTATATATATATATATACACACATACATATCTATGCATGTATATGTAGATATACCGACATATATATATATATATGCTACCCCCCCTCCCAAAACCCAGGTTTTGAACCTGGACAATTGCCAAAATCACTGGAAAAATGCTACTTTTGAGAAACATGTGTATTTTCGCCTCTGCGAAACGCATATTTTTCAAGTTCAAGCTGTAAAAATTGGCAAGTTCAATTAGTTAGAAAATAAACAGTCAGCAAGTCAACTAATTAGTCAGTTAACTAGTAACTAGTTGTAATGAATTAGCTCTAAACCAAGTTAGCTAGTTAATTGGCTAATCAGTTAGTTATCTATTTAGCTGCCTAGTTAGTTAGATAATACTGAAGATATTCCCCTAGCATTCCCTTCCTTTGCTAGTGAACTATTTGGGGAACACTAAGGGGGTGGTGAGGAAACACTGGGGGTATACCAAGAGAATACTAAAGGAATACTAGGGCAATACTAGGGGAATACTAGGGCAATACTAGGGCAATACTAAGTAGGGAATACTAGGGGAATACTAAAGGAGAATACTAGTGAATACTGAGGGAATAGTAGGGGTATACTCTCAAGCTCAATATGTGTGACTTTCCTCAGGCTTCCTGACTAGGGCAATACTAGGGCACTACTAGGGAAGTACTAGGGGAATACTAAAGGTGAATACTGGAAGAATTCTAGGAGAATACTGAGAGAATACTAGGGGTACCAAGAGAATATTTAAGGAATACGAGGGCAATACTGAAGGTATTCCCCTAGTATTCCCCTTCCCTTACTAGGAACTACTAGGTGCATACCAAGAGAATTCTAAGGGAATACTAGGGCAATACTAGGGGAATACTCAGAAAATACTAGGTGAGTAATAAGGTGAATACTAGGAGAACACTGAAAAACTGAAAAACATGAAAACCAAGGATTCAGGGGGACATGCCTGGGGGGGGGGCAGCCCCCATGTCCACCTGAATCCTTGGTTTTTCTGTTTTTGTTATTATGTTTGTTTTTCATTTTTTCAGCTTCCAGAGAGCTTCTTTGAAGAGATGCCCTTACGCAATCGTAGTGCTTGGTTGCTCAGACAATACTAGGGGAATAATAAAGGTGATTACTAGGAGAAAACTAAAAAAACTGAAAAAACTGAAAAAAAAACTGAAAAACCAAGGATTCAGGGGGACATGCCTGGGGGGGGGGCAGCCCCCATGTCCCCCTGAATCCTTGTTTTTTTTCAGTGTTTTTCAGTTTTTTAGTTTTTTCAGTTTCCAGAGAGCTTCCTTGAAGAGATGCCCTTACGCAATCATAGTGCTTGGTTGCTCAGACAAGACTAGGGGAATAATACAGGTGAATACTAGGAGAAAACTAAAACAACATGAAAAAAAACTGAAAAAACTGAAAAACCATGGATTCAGGGGGACATGCCTGGGGGGGGGGGGGGGGCAGCCCCCATGTCCCCCTGAATCCTTGGTTTTTCTGTTTTTTCAGTTTTTTTTCAGCTTTTTCAGTTTCCAGAGAGTTGAAGAGATGCCCTTACGCAATCATAGTGCTTGGCTGCAGCATTGGCTGCCAAATGAGACAGATGGAGAAAGTGGGCCTGAAAAGTGTGTGCTCTGGCAGATGCAGGTTTTTGTGAGAAGACACTGGTATTTACAGTGTTTTCTCACAAAACCTGGTTTTTTTTTTTTGGGGGGGGGTACCATATATATATATATATATATACATATATATATATATATATATGTCTAACGCTTGCTGCGCTCTAAGGTCCCGGACCTCTAGGATCCCCGAAGGTTCGGAAGAGCCAGCACTGGAAGCCTTGAAAATGGCGGGCGCACGCTGCTCGAAAAGTGCTTTTTCCGCGTGGAACACAACCTGAGTCGCAATCAAAACCAGGTACGAACCCAGAACCTTGTAAAGAACTAAGAATGCGGCCGCAGCTATTTATGGTTGGGATCGTCCGTTACTAATCTTCATCTACCCGGGTTTTGATTGTGGCGGGTTGGAGATTTGAGAACCGGGTTCTTGTTGTCCAGGGAGCTTGTACATATCCCTTTTACATACCCCTTGGACAAATGTACCCAAAAGGCCTGATGGTACCATATCCTCTCCCCAAAAGGGGGTTATACCCCTTACACAGTGGGTTGGAAACAGCCAAGGGGTATGAACAAGGGGTATGTACTACCACCCCACAATGGGGGGGGGCTCCCAAGCGATTGCTATGCGATATATCAAAACAAGCGGAGATATATGGAAGCACAGGCGTATTTCAAAAATGAAATCCAAAGAATAGAAGGTGCAAAAAAGACAAGCGATTGCTCTGAAGCGCTGTGTTGGATTCCATCGCATGGAAAGTAGACCCTTCGCATGGTTGGTATCATCTTGGCTTCTGCAGGGTTTGCAACTACGCCCTATGAAAAACCCTATCTCCGAATCACTTCAAAATTAATCGAAGTTCCGCGAGGGTCAACCAAACATATGCACCCTTCACAGGCACCTCCAAACCCTGGGTCAAGATAAGACTAAACAGGAGTCTCAAAATGACTCGGTTGTGAGACACGGTTACTTGCAAAGTTGTGAAAATATGCCTTCCCCCTCAGAATTCCTTGAATCTTGAGGATTGGTCACAACTTCTTGCACCGGATGGATGCAGCATGAAAACTGGGACAAAAAACACCTACTAACTGGTACAGGATGTTGATTGACGTGGTGGAACTGAAGACTTCTGCTTTTTGACCCGGGCTTACCCTCCTAATTTCAAGCCCCCCCCCGCGCGCAACAGCCCATCTTCCAAGGGTTATGTTGACCCCGGATTAAGCAGGACCCCTGGTTGATTTTGATCGGGGGGTGTCCAATTCCTTTTGGTGGTTGGATTCAGACCACTTTTGGAGGGAACACGCGCCTATTAGTAGGATGGGTTTATTTGGGTGTGGGTCACAATAGAACCACAAGGGGACCGCAGGTTTCAGTCTGTGCTTCCATTTGCCAGGGTTCCTAATGATACTAAGTCCTACAAACCGTGCCGTACATACACATACCGTCAACAACAAGCAACGTTGACCCAGGATGAAAGGACAACATGATAATTAGAGGTTTACATAGAAGGTATATATGCGGTCGAACGTAACAAAACACCCCGGGAAAGAAACAAGGACCGCGTAGCACACGAACCAGCCAAAAAACAAAACATCGGACACAACAACAGCATAGCAGTTGCGAAGCGCGTCGCTGAGCCCGCGGCACAAGAGGAAGTCGTTCACCTCACATGCTCTGACCACAACCCGAGACCCCCGCTATGGCCGTTTTTGCTTAGCCCCTAGTGGTTTATTCCCTTCAAAGCCAAGAAAAAAATGAACAGTATCTAGGTCCTCCAGATTTGAGAGGTTAGAACAAGTTGGTACCCGAGTAGTCTATTTTAGCAGGGGAACCCTCCCCCAAAACAAGGGTGAGGAAGCGCACTGAGGGACCTGGTTGCTTAACCCCTAGATCTCTTGCAGTGCTCTTGCCGCGAGTGTCGTTGGGGGCTGGTGTGCGGCATCCCTCATTTTAAAGAGCCTTGTGATATGTTAAGGGCTTCCCAGAGGTAGGGAGAAAAGGGTACTTTTAAGAGGATTCACTGCCCGGGAAGGTTGGCAGATTCTTTCTGGGAATATTTGGGTGTGTCATTTTTTGAGGGTACCCGTTTGTTGGTGGTTACAAAGGAAAATTGAAAGGACCACCACCACTTTGGGGTCCGCCCCAAAAAGAAGACGCACCCATTTGGAATCCTTCTAAAACATCTCTACTCTTGGTATGGTAGTGAAAAACTTTGTTTTTTGCAGACCCCCAGTAAAAATGAACAGAGCCAAAAAAAGAAATGCCAAGAACAGTGAAGAAAATGCAGAACCCCCCCGCCAATTAACCTCAACCCGCTGATGAATGTGTTTCCATTGCCAGCTTGGTTTGGGTCAACGGTTTTCCAATTCCCTCTAGAAGGCAAGCAGGTCAGGGGATTGAATCCCCAAACCACCAACCCGAATCACAAAATAATCAAAACCTGGTACTAAAATAGTCTACCCAACACTATGCAACACAAGGCGGCTGCGCCCATTTCTGACCATCTGACCTTCATCTACCCGGGGTTTTGATGGTGGCTCACCTGAGAAGCAACCAAATTCTGCTCAAAGACCAGGGCCCCCGGGCGTGTCTATCCTGGCACATGCCATTCGACAGGCCGACCTGCACTGACGAGCGAGTGGAACAGTGGAACCGGGATCTGGGTGTTCCCTTATCATACGAGTTTGCGGTGGTCTAAATCAATGTCCCAAATCTCGGCTGGCCACAAAAATAACATGCGCTGACTCTGTTTTACTAGGTCCTCCAATAGAGAGGTTAGAATAAGGGTACCCTTTCTTCTGTAGTCTACTTTAATAGTGAGAAAGAGCACCTAGCTGGGGGACCTAGTTTACATTTTGTCTGCCCTAAAACTACAAGGCAGTCTTGGAGAAGGCCTCTGAAAAATATGTGGTTTCCTCCAACTAAGGCCTCTTAACAAGGGTGTTCTTGTGGATCCTTGGATCGGCTCCCCATTTTTGAAGATGTTTTCCCCAGTCAAACAAGCCCCCTTGTTTCTTCCAAGTTGATGCGCGGAAAAACAAATGGCAAACCTAGAAGGTATGTGGGTGTTTATCTCTATTTCGTTCGGCCTGAAAACATGATCAGGCAGCTGGGCGAGGCTTCCGCAAGGAATGGAGTTAGCCGATTGGGAAACCAAATTCGGAGGGATGCCATGGAAGCGAACACGTGCGAGGATTCCTGCAAAGGAAGCCATGTCTAAATATAATCCGACAGATATGTCCGCATCCATGCTTCCCCGGTATCCATGCTTGTTTGTTTGTCTGCAGATCCAGTTGCCCACGCAATGTGGAGCACAAACTTTGGAGGCTCTTAAAATGCTTGATGCTCCAAATACCGCCTTGACCCCGCTGCAACCAGTGCCATCTAGTTCTAACCAAAACTAACCTCAAAAGCACGCTTTTTTTGGGCAGCAACCAAACCCGGGTCGGTCGGAAAAAAGAAGAATAGTAATTTGGGCAGCAACCAAACCCGGGTCGGTCGGAAAAAAAACAAAAAGCAAAAAACCACGGCACTCCTCTGAGTCTATAGCTGGCAACCCCAAGAGACGGTCGAAGACTTCGCCTCGGCGCCAGCAGAGCTCATCCTCACCGCCTGCTGCTTGAAGGCCTTGTAGGCCGCAGGCCTCGAAGCCGAGCGCTTGATCCGCGCGGACTTTTTTTTCTCTTCGGGACCACGGCTCCGAAGCCCGCGGCGTGAAAGATGCGTTGATTTTTGTTTTTCTTCGGCAATCTGTGGTCCAAGCCTCGGGGTTTGGCGGGCGTCATTGCAAACTGGGCTGTCCGTTTTCGGATTTTTTTTCGCGCTGAAGGTGACGAGCGTGTGGGTGAAATACGGACACCCAACCACTAAATAAACCAAAAAACAGCCACTACACACCTGAGAACCGAAGCGGATGGCTGGGAACCACCACTTCTTTGTGTTTTAAGTAAAACACAAAGAAGTGGTGGGCCTCCTTCCCTCCGGAATCTGGTTCAACCATCGGCCACAAGTTGATCGGGTCGTCGGGGTGTGACCCTTTGACTCAAATAGCTACCTGGACTTCCATTTGCTTCGTCCCCTGGAAAAGTATAAATATGTCCAGGAGTGACATCGATTCCCTTTACAGGAAAATGAAAACAACAACAAAAAACATATTCTTCAGCAAATTGCAAGTTGAGTGGCAAACGCTCTAAACAAATGGTTAGTCGTTGACAGTAGTTGATTTCCCCCAAAGGCTCCGAAACCCTTTCCGCAAGAGCATATGGGAAACTTCGTTGAGTTCCGCTTCTCGACAATCGACTGCTGCACAGGCTGACCGAACCCCCAGAAGGGCAAATATATAGTTTGACCCGTTGCTGGCCTTGGTGTCAAGCGCCCCATTTTGGGGAAACTTCTATCTTCCTAGGGGTTGATTCCAATTCCATCCTTGTCAACCATCGTTCTTGCCAAAACCGGACGGAGGTTTTCTAGAAAGATTCGGATCCCTGTAAAGAATGGGGAAGGTACCCCTAGAATCTTACAGAAACCCGAATCATTCGGGCAACAGCCTGCGATAAATTGTTTCCACGCCTTTTTCGCGCCGAGTTCGCCTCCCGGGCCACTTGGGCTGGCCCGCCGACTTCCGACTTCCCCTCGCCCTCGTGTCACAGTGTCGCGACGTCAGGTCAAAAGGTGCAAATAGGTCTTAACATGCTTGGGTTGATACAAATACCGGGGTTGACACAAAGGTACTATGGCTAACATGTTTGGGTTGATACAAATACCGGGGTTCGCCTTGAGTCTGTAAGAATCGTGGCACCTTCAGCATCTTGGGCCCTCGCAAAGGCCGCTCTTGAGGTCCAATACCGCTTCGGGCCGCAGAACATGCGATCACTAAGCGAAAGAATTCTCCAGCAGATTATCACTTCTTGGGTGGATGGACCAACAAAAAGGGCAAACTTGTTTTACCGCTAAAACTCAGTTGTTCAGTGACCCTGGAAAAAAAAGGGACCCCTTTTTTGGGAAGACCATTTTAGTGGGGCAGCCACCAAAAAAAAGGGGGAAAAAGGGGGCCACTGAACAACTGAGAACATGCTCCGAACCCACAAAGCTTGAAGTCCAAGAACTCAGGGAGCGAGGCAACCAATAAAAGTACAGAACCACTCTGCCCAAACAGGGATCCTTACGTTATACACCTGAACATTGCCTTGTAAATGGTGGCGTCCCTTTATTTTGGTGTTGAAAAAGCCATGTTTCAAATGGGCGAAATGTATGTTTTGAGGAGCCCTGGCAAATGTACTCCAATGCACCAACCGGAAATGAGGAACCCCGACCTTTATGGATGAGCTGGTTGAAACCTCGAGGTGAGCTCAGAATACCACACCCATCTTCCATGAGACTGAACAACTCAGCACTGAACATCAAAACTGGCAGCAATATCGTATTCCTCCAATCGCTTGTTCGTCCCCTGGAAAAAATGAGAACGTATTTCCAGTAGTGATAGATTCCCATTAAAACCAACAGGGGAAAATAAAACATCTTCTTAACCAAATGGAAGAGTTGTGGGCGAATCTGAAGTCGGATTCCCTTCTTGCTTAAAATGGTGAATTGTACCCTCCCTCACAAACGATTCCGTGGAAGCTGCAAGAACGCCGAAATGGAACACTTGGTTCCATTTACAGAGGCCTTCTGGGAGCTTCTGGCTGTTAGTCTGAGGGAGTGTATCCGTCACGATCACTCTTTATCACTCTGAACTTGCAACCCCATTTTCCGGGATGGAAGTCTCTTTAGCGCTTGGCCCGACCACATGCACGTGTAACGCGAGGACGAGGCCTAAGCAATCACAGCCAAGAAGCTTAAATAAGGCCGAATCCGGCCCTGACTCTGGGGAGGGTGGTAGGGTCCCTGATAAACCTCAAAGGCATCGTCAGGAGCAGCTTGTGCAGGCATTGCTTACATACCAATATGAGTTTGTGCGGCAGGATATGGGTGTGCGTTTTTTGTTGTTGTTTTTTGTTTTTTACACGGCCCTTTGGCGGATATTGCTTGGGTGAAGATTCATGTCCACCAACGACTTTGAGGTGGCTCCCGACTAGAATGCATGGTCACATATGATACAGCCTGCTTTTTGAGTGGTACACATTCCAACTGGACTAGGTGCCCTCCTTCCCCACGGTCTAACCTGCTGTTGAGCAAATGGAAACATTGGATCAGGATATGTCATGAGCTTATTGCGATGCCAAATGTGTGTGTGTGTGTGGGTTGTCTGGTTGAGGGAACCCTGTTCGCCTTGCTTACAAGGATAAACACGATTTTGGGGTCTCCCTATTTTGACACATAACCAAATCAAGGACTATGACAAGTGCTTTGGTTCTGACATTGCGCTCGGCGCTCTACCCCACATCTACCCGTTCGCCGAGGAAACTTGATGCATTGTTTCAGTGTTTTTGTGTCGCCTGAGAAAACGAGATCCCCGTTAGAGGTCAACCTTCGTCAATCCTCCATGTTTGGCTTTCCGGGCGAATGGGCGCATGGCTCTCTCAGCAGATTCCTCCCTTCTTGGTCTTGTCGGCCTTTTTGGCTTTCGTGTCTTTGGAGACGACGATGTTCTGGCGCTTGATCTTGAAGTCCGGGCCGAAGACGAAGGTATCCGTCGCGGTGTTGTAACCGCAGCCAGGGCATTTCCAGACCAGGAACACCGTCTTGCCCTCCTCGTCTACATCCGCAACCTAGGCTTGCTTCCATTTGAGCTCGAACATGACAAGGACATGTCCATAGAGGCCTTGACTACCAACCTTGGGAAACCCATGGGTGGAAACACAAAAGTCAACTGGCAGGACGGAAACATGCCTATAAGTGTTTTTGCCGCATCCCATGAATCAGATCAGTGAGGGATTGGATTCCCTGTTGTCGATTGGGAAGAAACAACCGGATTTTGGGCTTTTTTCTTCACCCACCCCTTTCCAGCGATGGAAAAACAAAAACTGTCTGGAGCGGGGGGCCTGGTGTTTTCCTGCAGCCCTAATGTTACCATTGGATAACTAAATCCCGCCGGTTGCAAACCGAGTGCCTTCGGCATCCAAGACCAAACAGTTCTATGGCGCGGGCCTGGTGGACCCCCAACTAGCGCGGCTTGCTCGACAGAACATGTTTCACGCGCAAAATCATATATATATATATATACATACATATGTATATATATATATATGTATATATATATGTATATATATATGTGTATATATATATATATAAACCCCATCCCAATGGTTTTTTTGCACACCAGGCCTCATGGGTGCTGATAAAACCCGGAGGCTCGGCGCATACCATCGCAATGCCCGCCCAATTAAAGCTTATCCAATTTCCCCTCAATGCCGCAGAGCGGCCACCGTCAACCCAAACCAAACCAACCCAGCCAACGAACCAACCAACAGCCGGTGGTGCCAAGTAGCCGGGGCGTCCAGCGTGGCAAGGTCAGACAGGTCCTGCGCCGCTCCGGTGAAAGATGGCACGGCCCTGGGCTGTCCTTTCTCAGATCCCTTGCTAAAAGCTTAAAACGTTTAGCCAAACAGGGATCCGTTATTATACACTTGAACATTGCCTTGTAAATTGTGGTTTCAACCTTTATTTTGGTGGAAAAAGCCATGTTTCAAATGGTTGCATTTGTTTTAATATTTTAAGGAGCTTTTGCCAAAGCAACTAAAAAAAACGGCAACCTAAGGGGATGGCGCGGAACCACTAAGCTCCTTGAAGAGGTTCGTGAACATCTCGCGAATCTCAGTCGTGCCCTTGAATTCGGCCTTGGAGCCGTCCACATTGTTGTACACCTAACGAAGCGACGACGAAGGACCGCTGTCAGGGTTGCTCTAAGCCCCCCCGAGCAAAGGGCGATAGACCTTTCGTAGGTGGAATGCAGAAGCCACTTGTGTCCAAAAGGTCCTTTGGGTCTAAGGTCATAAAACCAGCCACGTGGGGGTGGACTATATGGGCTTAAATACCCGGATTGGGTAAGCAAGGTGAGCTATGAAAAACTCGAAGGGTCCACCCAAAGTCATGCGAAGAATCACAAGGTACCGAATTTGCACGTCTTCAAGAGACACCAAAAGGAAAACCGGTATTGTTTTGTTGCTTTTTTGGGGGCCCAAACAAAACACACACCCAAATCAATATGCACGACTACGTTTGGCGCCTGTTCCTTGCCATTGTCCCGATAGGTCGAGAGTGCGCGGATGGAACATGCGCACGGTCCCTACATCTCCTCGTTTTGGATCCCTGCCAAACGGAAACTCAGAAAGTTGCCCTTCCAAAAAGGTAATGGCTGCGGTTCAAAAATAGATACCCAAAATGAAACCCTGCTACATGGAAACATGGACGAACACCTGCGGTCTGGTGGTTTAATTTTGACCCATACCCATATGGTAAACCCCGATATGTTCTCAAATGTCCCATGGACACTCCCAAGCACGTGGGTCATGGTTAAGAAACCCTTACGATGATGTAAATCCGATGAACAAACAATAATGTGGGGTTGTCTTTGTTGGGGGTACCCCCCCTTAAAAAACACGGAGGGTATCTTGAGGCTTCCCATCCAACACACCTCCACAACAGGGAAGCAACAGAAGAGAGGGACCATGTCTCACCATCCCTCTGGTCGCCCCAAGGGTGTCAAGGGTGCCAATCGAGCTCCTGGAAAGGATTCTGTAGGCGCATTTATGGGTTGGGATTGTCCCCAACCTTCATCTACCAAGGCTTTGATTGTGTCTTTGTTCTGATAGCATACATGTTGATTGAGTCTTTTCACTCATTCACC